GTTTCAAAAAGATATTCCATTTAGGGTCGGAATAATAGGTTGTGCATATAATTTATATTTTCTTCATTCTACATTGGTGTTTTTTCAATGAAAACAGACTAAGGTATTGAGGAATCCAGCATCTTTCCTGCTGGGTAGAACCACTTGATGCATTAATACTGTTTGCGATATCCAAAATGATTACTCTGAGCAAGAAATCATGAAAAGAAACAATGACCAAACAGAAACATGAGCCGTAAGAACACTTCTCCAATAAAAGTTCCTATTTCTATATTACATGTCAAATAAACCTTAATCATTCCGAAGGTCTCTAGGTCAGAAGAACCTGGTCCATATGGTTTTGCTCACAATGCTGACAAACATTCACACTTCACTGAACTAGATATGCCTGCAATATGTTAAATATCTTAGCTATGCCTGCGTTTCATACAGTATTCCCAGAAACATCTCTGGCAGCTTTTGTGATTTATGTCTTTGGGGATTGTAGTTATGAGAAATGACATGGCATAATGTATAGCGAGCTCACCTTGAAGCCAGAAGGACCTGGGTTCCAACTAACCTCTGACACATATGGGCTGTGTGACCCTGGATAAAGTCATAAAACTCCTCCGTGTTCTAAGCAACTTTCTGAAACTATAAATGGCAGATGGCATGCCAACCTGCTTTGGTAGAGGGATAATACTCACCTGTGAGTTCTCTATACAGCAATGAAATCCCTGATCAAGTCCGAGGACCTGTATTTAAGCTGCAGTTATCAGCTACTTTTCTTGCCTCAGCTTTAGGGCATCTAAGTTATTGTCTTAAGGTATCTGTAATTTCTAGTAGAATGTAAGCTCTTGAGGGCAGGGGCTGTTTTAGGTTTATCTTTGCACCTAGCATGGTACCTGGCACGTAGTAGGTGTTCTAAGATATGGCTATCACTTATTAGTATCAGATGTTATCCTTCACTAACATTCTCTTCCAATGAATCATCAGGGTGTAGAGGTGAATCTGGTCTCACAAAAATTCAGCTTTCTGAATTCAAATCTGGCCTCAGACATTTACTAGCTGTGTGACCCTGGGCAAGTCACTTAACCCTGTTTGTTTCAGTTTCTCCATCTGTAAAATGACCTGGAGAAGGAAATTGCAAACCACTACTCCAGTATTTCTGCCAACAAAACCCTAACTGGGGTCACAAAGACTCAGACACGACTGAAAAATGACTAAACAACAAGAAAGAATAAACAGGCAACACTGGCTACGCTCTACAGCGGTATAAGGGGATAAGACTTGAAGCTAAGACAAGAGACAGTATTAAACAGAACAGCTCTCTTTAATAATGTGGGACGATCACATCCATTGGGCTAAGATAGCATCCTCATTTCCTACAGGAATATGCACTGCCCTGGTCTTCTTAGGTGACCGCAGAAGACAATATATGCCTCTGCAGGTATTATAATGCTACTCGACTAAAGGATCAATGAATCCTAGATCAGAACTAGTCCAACCCTACCATTTCACAGGTGAGGAAACTGAGGCTAAAGGGGGCCAAGGGACCTCCCAAAGGTCACAATGTTCATGTCACAGGAAGGTTCTCTGACTCCAGAGCAATGCCCTTTCTACTACATCAAACTGCAAATGAAAACAATTGGGGGAGTACATCATTGTATTATTCCAAAAGCTAACACAACAGAGCAAGATTCGAAAATCCTAAATTATTAAAATGGGGGAGTTCAGGAAGGTTGCACTCACTCTTCAACAGCATTATTAAAAAGAGATTTAAGAAATGATTTTTATAAAGCAAATCCAAGAAAATACTCATGGAGGCAGCAAGGGGACATGGCAGATTCGCTGTTGTTCTCTGGAGTCAGCAGGACCCAAGTTCAAACCCTGCCTCAGGCACTAAAGACCTGTATTAGCAAGTCACTTACTCTCTTGGCTTCAGTTTCCATCTGTGGAATGGGAACAATAATAGTACCTACCTTCATTGTGAGGGTCAAATTAGCTAGCATGTGTAAAGTACTTTGCAAAGTTTAAAATGCTATATAAATGCCTACTATTTATGTAGGTGTGTATAAAAGAACATATTCTTTGATTTCTATTATATCAAAATATTAACTTTTAAGCACAGCTGTGGTTTTTTTTTTTAAGAAAGAAAAACCCATTCCCTCCCTCTCTCCCCTCAATCCAAAACCAAAATGTATATTCCATACTAATAACAACATGAGTAATACTGGTGGAAACAATGGCTCCAATGTTCTTACTTCAGGATAAAAGGTCCCTAACCATGTATGGCATGTGGAAACGTGAGATGAATTGCATGTGTAAAAGACCCTCAATTGCTCCCCAGTGCCATTGTCTTTTAGACCACACCCTGCTAGCTTTCTCTTCACAGGAGCCAGGGATGCTAGGAAAATGCCTTGTGAGTAACACTGAAAGTGGTTTTGTGGAAAAGAGATAGAGAAAAAAATCCTGTAGATGAAGATACCACTGCAGTAGAAAGGCTTCAGGTGAATGGCCAGACACTTCTTCCAGGGACTATTTTGAAGCTTGAGTAAGGATTAAATGTTTAATTTCTCTGGGATCCACCACTACCAGAATTCAAAAGAACAGATTAGGAAGGGAAAACAGAGAAAGAAGCAGGAGAGAAGCAGGCAAAAACATCAGCATTACATTAGGAAAAGAAATTTAACCAAAAAAAGTTTCCTAGCAAATGATACTGATTTTTAAAAAGCCTAAAACTGGACAAAGTAAATCTGTGATTCCCAAACCCAGTTTTGTGACATTCCAGAGTTGCCAAAGCATTTAAACGGATGGAATGAGAGTCTCAAAACAAATTAGAATTATTGCTCAGTTCTATTCTAAAAATCAACCATGCCATATAGGGCCCTACCCAGGTAATGGTCAAAATGTTAAGTTATCAAGAAATGGGGAGTTGGCTTCAACCTCCAAGAGAGCTGGAAATCAGCTCAAGAAATGGCTGATCTCTCAACAGTATTTCTGCATCTAAGATTCACCAATCCGGATTAGAAAGTGGAATGAAAATAAGAGCCCCAGGTCACCTGGGCCCTTTGAGCACAAAAAGAGGCTGAGGAGGAAGTAAGCTAAGGAGCTCTTCTCTGGCTTTGCTGTCTCATCACTAAACCCTTACACTGCTTTGGACATGGTCTTTCAGCATCTTCTTCTTCTTGACTGGACAGAGATTGGGTTTAGTATTATATAGTTTGGCATAGAAAGGTTACTGAGACCTGGATTTAAATCCTGGCTCCAAAGTCTGCTAGCTACACAGCCTCGGGTAAAGTAACTCAATCTCTCAGCCTCAATTTCTTCATCTGAGAAATGGGTATAATAGAACCACACTTGCTATGCCAGCTGTCTCACTGTGTTTTGGTAAGGAAAAGCACTTTGTAAACCTTAAAACCCTACAGAAATTGGAAGAGGAGTTATTATGCTGTAAAATGCTTTCAGCTTTCCTGTAAAGTAGGGGGCTATTATCTAGAGAAATGGAGTGTCCCAAAAGTCTTAGTGTAGTTTTAAGCTTTCTTAAACTGAGACTTTTCTTTTCTCTCTCTTTTTTTTAGGCAATTGGGGTTAAGTGACTTGCCCAGGGTCACACAGCTAGTAAGTGTCAAGTGTTTGATCTGAGGCAGGATTTGAACTCAGGTCCTCCTGACTTCCGGGTCAGTGCTCTAACCACTGCACCCCCTTGCTGCCCCTAAGCTAAGACTTTTGGAACACCATGAATAATACTTTGGGATTATCAATTCTTACTGCTGCTATAGGTACAGAGAATATTAATATTATTAATAACAGTCAGCGGCAATGCAATAAAGAAGACAGAGAACCAGCCTCCAATTCAAGGAGAGCTGGGTTCAAGTCTCAACTCTGACACATACTGGCTGTATGATTAGGCAAGCAACTTAACTCTCTATACCATAGGAAACTCTCCCAAGACTTCTTTATCTCAGGCAGTTAAATGCTAGGGAACATTTTATTTAAGAAAGACCAAAACTGGCAACCCCTCATTTCGTCAACCTTCTTTTTTATTTGCAAAATGGCTACAGATCTGCATTGATAGGAGATATTTCTTCACTGGGGTACCTTATCTCAATTAAATCACTGGACAAATTGGTTGGGACAAATATGAACAATTATCATCTGTATAGTTCTTTTAAGGTTTGCAAAGTGCTTTACAAAAAATTCCCATGTCTTCCCCCTTATGCACTGTGTCAAGCCCCATCTTAAAAAAAAAAAAAGATTTTTTTTTTAATAAAGAAGGAAAATCTGATATTTCCCCTACTCTTAAAATCACTTAACAGAGACTCAGGAGAGGAAGGGAAGTCCCTCTTCCCACAGTGTTTCCTGACAAAACTACAGAAGGGTGAATAACAGAAAAGGCTTGTGGGTGCTGGGAGAAGACAGCATGACAGAGAGGCAGTGTGGTAGAAGCAGCTAATTTTGTCTTCTAAAAAGAGAAGCCCATCTAATTGGTTTGTATGTTGTATTGGGTTGGGGGGTTTGTGAGCTGGGTGAGAATTAGCCCTCACTTTCTGAACACTGGTGATGCTTCATCAGAGGAAGAAAACCCCTGATGTCAATAACTCTCAGTTAAAACACTCTAGATTAGTTCATCGTAGACAAGCATTGGTCTGAGGGAAGGAGCCAACCCACCAGTCCAGATTGGTGATCTCTACAGCTGCAGAAACATTGTTTTTTTCAATTCCTGAAAAAGAAGTCAGAAACAGGTTGTTAACAAAACAGTTCCACAGCTCTGAATCCTCATTCAAAGAACTGAGCCTGGAAAAGCATCTGAGTATTGATTGATATTAGACATTACCGTTCTTGAGGGTAGTTGGGTATCTTTTACCTCTCTTTGCATCTCCGGTGCTTAACACAGTGCCCTGGCACACAGCAGGTGCTTAATAAATGCTTACTGATTGACTGACAGTGGCTAAATTACTGAAAGATAAGTCTGTATGTAGAAAAATAAACACACACACTCCAACACATATATTTCTTACCGTGGTGAATTAAATCCACTGTCCACGGTGATACTGCTACTATCCATGCTGTCCAGCCGGGCAGAATGTGTTGCCCTCTGGCTGCTGCTATTATCATTTTCCTTTGGGGCAAGGAGAGTGAGGTTCTTTTCAAATTTTCTCTGTAGGTCTCTTTCTTTTTCCCGCTCTAGCAGCCACTGCATGGTCCCCACATCGTCCCTATTCTTCTCCTCCTCCGCGTTCTTGTGTGCCCCTTCCTCAGAATCGTCATCATCAGAGACATTGTAATAGTCAAAGGAAGCTTCCTGGTTCCCACCGGCTTCCTGCTGTCGTTGGGAAAGGGGCGCGGCTTGGCCGACGGAGGCTGCCAGGGACTGTTCCAGGATCTCGCAGCGGCCTGGCAAAGCATCAGGAGATGACTGTGGGTGAGCTTTCAGGAGGGACACGGTTGGCTTGTGATAACTGTTCATGGACAGGGCACTATGGAGCGGTTTGAAGAGCGTGTCTTTGCTGAATATCTTATCTAGGCTGATCGACTCTGTGCCATGGTGGGGGAACAGTCGTCCATTGGCAACGGGGTCTGTGGCTGGGCCAGAAATTGCTGCCAAGCCTCCCCCTGGCCCTTTGGGCGACTCCTCTTTATGTACCATGGGTTCTCTGGTGGGGTGCTGGGGCTGCCTCTCAGAAGAGGACAGCTTTTTCATCCCATCAGTCAAGGTCAGAGCGTCAGGATCATCTTTGCTCTTTCCCAAAGGTGATGGAGCAGTGAGAACCGTCTCGCTGGAGGTGTTACATTGAAAATAGTCATCCATGGAAGCTTTGGTTGGACAGGCATTGAGTTCATTATAGGATGGCAAACTCTCTGGAGGTTTGCTTTGCTCTGAAAGGCTACAAGAATTGGGGGGGTCAATGCTGCCACTGACAACTTCAGGTATGCACACCTCTTTATAGTTTGTGGATGCAATGTGAGCCCTTTGGTGACTGACAGTCTGTGTCGGCCTTAAAGTACTATCGTCAGTATAAGATTGGCTAAGTGTTGGATCGTCTTGGCTACAAGCTTCAGCTATGTCTTCAGTTGTCCCTAAGGAAGCAGCACCGAGAGGGCCTTTGGAATTATCCATTGACCTGGATCTCTCCTTGGCTTTATTGGACCTTTCATTCCTGGACCTTCGATCCTGGGTATGGCTGTGACTTCGATGGACCTTCGAGTGAGAACTTCCCCGGGAAGGCTCAGGAAAAGGCATCTCGGTCCTCCTCTTGGCCAGTTCACCAGACACATCCCATTCCGGGGTCATGGGAAAATGAGGCTCAATCATGTTAGGGTGGCTGTGCGTGATGAAATGATCCCCTTTGTGTTCAACAATGAAGCAGCCTTCCCGCGGCGACCGAGTGAGGGGATCATTCAGGTCATAGTCTCTGTCTGCCGTGATATCAAGATGAGAGCCCTCTGAAGGGTCCCCTCCTTTGGACCCTCGCGTCTTGCTGTGGGAACGAGCTTTCCCGTGGGTCTTCCGATGGTTCCTGCTCTTCCTACTCCTTCCGCTGTGGTGGGCGGATGACCCCGTTTTGCTCCTCTGAGCTTTTTCTTCATCAAGTTTCTTCATTAGTGCAGTATGCCTCATGACGTTTTCTACGGTCAGATCTGGGTTAATGCGTCTGATAATCTCCATTTCCACCTCTCTGGGGATTGTAGTGGGCGTCTCCTCATCTCTCAGAGGCCATTCCTCTGGGGGAAACTGTGCGGAAAAATTAGTTAGTTGTTTTGTCTTGTCTTTCTTAAAACTTAGCCTAAACAACTTCAGCCCAAATTTTTTGGACTGTTTTTCACTGTCTTTAGGTTTTGAAAGCGTTTCTGTCTTATAAGAAAAATTTACAATACTTTTACTTTTTTCAGTGGGTGGCAATTGGCATAGTGAAGGGGGGCAGTCCTTGGCGGCTTTCCTCTGCAGCGTAGATGCATGCATGCTGTGCATGTCTTCTCTACAACAATGACAAGAGTCGCAGTGGTTTTTGGGTAACGTTCTGTCCCTGACACAGCCCGAGGTGGAGGGTGTGATGGTTCCTGGCTGTGGAGAGGTACACTGAGTCCTGTCAGGTATCCTCTCATCCAAATGATACCATTTACTATTAGTTCTTATGAGGGAAGGAGTAATAAAATAAGTCTGTGGGGTCACAATAAAATAGCCATCTGGAGTGGGATAGATTTTCCTCTCGCGAACCAGCATGCTCAGCGTGTGCCGGAGGATTTCTTGGCTTGGAGTTGGAACACCTGAAACCAAAGCAATGCACAGATGAGAACTGACCGGCCACCACTGGCCCTTTCTCAATAGCCTCCTACTAATGGCCATCCCTTCCTTTCTCCTCACAAATGTGTTTTGCAAACAGAGGAAATCTGTTAAAGAGAAACCTCTACATATCAACTGAATAGAACAGGTTGAAAAATTAATCCAAAAGTGACTATCAAGCATGCTAATGAATATTTTTAAAGTGTTATAGGTATCCATAACAACATTGCTCATTACAAAATGCCAAATAAGAAATGTGTTACATTATGATTATGATGCCAATGTTTACCCATCAGGAGGCAATTGGGGCATTTTTCCAGTGGGAGAAAACTTAGCATATTGTATATTGTATAGACAATATACAAGAAGTGAAAATGTGGTTCTAGATTTTAAAGGTATACACACACACACACACACACAAACACACACACACAATCATACAGAATGTTAGATCTAGAAAGGACCTTGGGATCTTCTTGTCTCATACCCCCTCCTCTCATCACTCATCAGCTTTGGATTCACTTCTCCCAATTCTTGGTTCCATGTTCTTTCTAGCTATACCACATTGCCTTTACCATCATCACTATCTTTAAGAATTATGGTAAGGAACCCTACCCCCATACTTACCACTGAGGCATTGGTGGCTAGAACCTCCCAGAGCAGTAGTGTCAAACTTGAATAGAAATGGGGGCCACGAAATAGTATATAAGGATTCCTGCTGGCCAAATACTGACTTGAAAAACCACATATTAGCATTATTTATGTTCTACCATATTTTTATTTATTTTGATAGATATTTCCC